CGCGGCCGAGGCCCCCGCCAGCCGTCCTGTAAGTACACCTGGGCCCCGCCCCTGGGGCGCCACGTGACCTCTCCCCGCCTAGCCCATTGGCCGACGGCTGCTTTCCCCTCCCCCTCCGCCCCTTTCCACCGGCCGCGGGAAATCAAACGGGCCGGTCCCGCCCCAACCGCCACCTGGCCTCAGCGCGCTGGGCGGGGCCTGGGGCGCAGCGCCAAGGTTGCCCTTGACGACCCGAGGCGAGGCGGCGGGAGTCCGCAGCCACGATTCTGGCCGAGAGCGGCACCGCTCCTCTCCACCCTCAAGACCGACCCTGTCCGTGCGCTGCCCCGTGGAGACTCCGTCTCCCGGCCACCACCCGCCTCGGTGCCCTCCCCCGGCTGGGGGTCCCCGCACGCTGCGGGGCTGCGGCCCCCGCTCGCGGGGCAGACTAGAAGGCACAGGACGGACGATTTTTCCAGCGCACAGTTGCTCTCACAAGCCGGGCCCCTCACTTTTGTTGTGTTTGTTTTGAAACAAAGTTTACAGCTCGTCGCTGAGTTTTGATAAATATGTCCGTCTATGTAGCCAAAGCCCTTGACTCCAGCTATTTTTCCCTAGTCCCAGGAAATTCCCGCGAGCCTCTTCCTGGCCATCCCAGCCTCCGCGCAGACCACGGCAGTTGTGATGTCTGCCGCCGTCGACTGGCTTCAGGCACGCTCGTCTGCGCGCGGGGCCAAGAGCCAGGCTCCGTCCGGCCCAAGGCCTTTGCACACGCAGCTTCCTTTGTCCTGGGCGTGCCCCCGTCTCTCTTGGGGAGGCTTTCTTCTTCACTCCTCACGATCCCACCATCCCTTGTTTTTTATCCTGGCATTTTTGAACATGTGAAACGGTCCTGCCCATTTGCTTATTTATTCTATTTTCACACACTAGGCTATAAACCCCCCAGCAATAAGACACTTGGAACGGTGGCTGGCACAACATATGCGCTCGATATTTGTTGACTACATGAATAGTCCCCATTCCACAGATGCGAAAACTGAGGCCCAGCGCGAGGCTTGTCCCAGGTTTCTCAGGAGCCCGGGAAGTCCAGCCGGGAGCCGCAATGTCCCTTTCAGAAAAATGAGCCCCAGAAGTGTCTCCTCCCGAGGGCCGCCTCCCCCACCCGGGTGGCACAGGACAGCGCGTATTTTTAGCCAGGACAGCGCGCCCTGGGGCAGCACACGTGTTCCCCAGGCGCTGCTCGGCCTGCCCCTCGTGCGCTGGCTTCCGCCGTGGTAAGTGTCCCTCGCCAGGCTCCGCGTCCCTTCCGCAGCCCGCGGCCGCGGCCACCGCTTCTCCCGGTCACGGCGCGCCCTCTGCCGGTCACTGCCAGGGACTGCCGGGTCCCGCTTCCTCGCGGTGCCGCCAGCGGCTCCCCTGCACACCCTACCCCTCCGGCTCTTTCGGAGTTGAGGAGTCTGAGTTCCAGGGCATCGGGCATGGTAGACAGAAAAAGAGAAAAGTCGAGAAAACAATTAAATCGCACGACGAGGCCGTGAAGGGACAAAAAGGACACCACCACTACCTTTAGACTCTTTTGTTGTTGTTTTGACTTGTTTTGTTTTGTTTGAGTCAGAGTCTTAACTCTGTCACCCAGGCTGGATGGGGTGCTCACGGCCACCGCAGCCTCGAACTACTGAGCTCAGGCGATCCTTCCTCTTCAGCCTTCCAAGTAGCTGGAACTACAGGCGTGTGCCACCACGCCCAGCTAATTTTTTTTTTTTTTAATTGTAGAGACGAGGTCTTACCATGTTGCCAAGGCTAGTCTTGAATCCATAGGCTCAGGCAATCCTCTCACCTCCCTTCTGCTAAGGATCGATTGACCTGTGCCTGTTCATGAGTTCAAGGAACAAGGGAAGCCTGAGACTCAGGCTGGAAGGAAGACAAGCAAGATACCTCAGTGTGATTGCAGTAGCAAAAGAAGCACAGGGTAGGTAACAGAGGGAGCTCAGGTGTGGGTTAGTTAACTATAGGTTGGAGGTGAGATGAGGGGAAATTCCTGGGAAGAGAGGGATGAGCCCTTTTTGTAAGTAAGAATATGTCAGGAAGTCAAAGGAGGGAGCATTAAGAGAACAAGGAAGCATGAAACCACACTTACACTTACAATAAACAACCTGCTCTCTATCCCCTTGAAGGAGAATTAGCCTTGGAAAGAAAGATGCAGTTAATTGTCCCGTTCACTTGAAGAGTTTGTGCATGTAACTTTCTGGGTTTTTTTTTAGTCAGAGTCTTACTCTGTCGCCCAGGCTGGAGTGCAGTGGCATGCTCACAGCCACCGCAGCCTTGACCTGTTGCGCTCAGATGATCCTTCACCTCAGCCTTCCAAGTAGCTGGAACCACAGGGATGTGCCACCACGCCCGCCTAATATTTTGATTTTTTGTAGAGATGTGATCTTGCCAAGTTGCCCATGCTGGTCTTGAACCCCTGGGCTCAGGCTATCCTCTCACCTCTGCCTCCCAAAGTGCTAGGATTATAGGTGTGAGCCTCCACACCTGGCAATTTTCTGGTTTTTAAAACAATTTTAAGTACCATAGCTAAGAAGAGTTCCAGACATTGTAGTGAACTCTTACTTACAGACATTTTTCTATCACTCTTTCCATTTGCTCCTGCCTGCCAGACGTGGTCTTTCACCTGTCTTAGTCACTGTTTAACGACAAAAACAAAAATCCTGCCTTCCTAACTATTGCCCTATGCATGTCCATTCTTTGAACAGCAGGTTTCCTGAAACCAGACTTTGCTGTCGCTACTTTCTGAACTTTCTTTCACACCCAACCAACCCAAATCTGGCTTCTGTCCCACCACTCTACTAATACTGCTTTAGCAATGGCCCACTGTCCCTTCTTTTTTGTTTTTTAGATTAGAAAATATAGTTTATTTAGAAAGTAAATTAGAGAAAGAGGAGAGAAAGGAGATAGAGAGAGATTCACCTCCCCAAGGTAGGGAAGGGAGCCAAAGTTTAGGAAACATGGTGGCAGTCATAGCCCAAAGAGCACGTGGCCATACCAGAGTTTAGTGAAGAAATGGGGCACTGTCCCTTCTTAATTGAAACATTCAGTAGATGGCTTTGTTGTCTCTCTCACTCTGTCTCTCACTCTCTTTCATTCCCTCACTCTCTGGCTCTCTGGCTCTCTCAGAGGTAGTCTTACGATGTCACCCAGGCTGGAGTGCAGGTGCAATCATAGCTCACTGCAGCCTGGAACTCCTAGACTCAAGCAATCCTCCCACCTCAGCCTCCCAGGGTAGCTGGGACCATAGGCACATGCTACATTCTCTTTTGACCATCAAATGAAGTTCCTGCCACAACTTCCACAACCCAACCTTCTCCTATCCCCTCATACCTCTCCTTTTGTGGCTTGTTCTCCCCCACCAACCCCAATATTTCCTGGGCCATGTTCTCCTGCTGCTTCCTTCTTTAGGTCATGTTATCCATTCCCCTGTTTTCTGTGCCCACTTTCTGATGGCTCTCAAACCTGTGTTTCCAGCCCTGAGTCCCTCCCACCTTCTACCAGACTTTGAGTCAGGGACTCCAATTGCTCCATGGGCTTCTGAACCTTGACAAGTTCAAGTCCAGGCTCCTCTCCTGCCCATCCCCCCTTCTCACTGAGTTATGTCATCACCACTTATCCACAGTCATCCTTTTGTACCTGCTCCCCTTTTCTAGAACAGTTTCCCTGGATGTCCAGGCTTAACACAGCAAAGGCGAAGATTTGAGATAATATTTGAAAGCTTGAAAAGATAGAGCCAGGCACGGTAACCCCAGCACTTTGGGAGGCAGAGGTGAGAGGATCGCCAGAGTCCAGGGGTTCGAGACCAGTCTGGGCAATTTGTCAAGACCTCGTCTCTACAATAAATCAAAAAATTAGCCAGGCGTGGTGGTGCACACCTATGGTTCCAGCTACGTGGAAGGCTGAGGCAGAAGAATCATCTGAGCCCTGCAGGTCATAGCTGCGGTGACCATGAGCATGCCACTGCACTCCAGCCTGGGTGACAGAATGAGACTCCTACTCCTACTCAAACAAACAAACAATAAATACATAATTGCTCTCTTATTTCTTACCTGCTACAGAGTGTTTCATACCTACAGTGTCCGTCTTCTCCTCTCTCATTCACTCCTTAGCTGCTTTACCTCTTTTTTTTTTTTTTTTTTTTGGAATCAGAGTCTCTGTCACCCAGGCTGGAATGCAGTGGCATGCTGCTCACAGCTACCGCAGCCTCGACCTGCTGGGTTTGGGCGATCCTTTGGCTTCAACCTTCCAAGTAGCTGGAGCTACAGGTGTGTGCTACCACACCCAGCTAATTTTCTGATTTATTGTGGAGACGAGGTCTCACCAAGTTGCCCAGGCTGGTCTTGAATTCCTGGGCTCAAGCAATCCTCTCGCCTCTGCCTCCCAAAGTGCTAGGATTACAGGCATGAGTCACCACACCCAACTGTTCTTACCTCTTAAACATTTTTTTTTAATTTTAATTTTTAAATTTATTTTAGAGACAAGGTCTTTCTCTGTTGCCCACACTGGAGTGCAAATGGTGCCAACATAACTCACTGCAGCCTCAAACTCCTGGGCTCAAGCTATAGTCTTGCCTCAGCCTCCCAAGTAGCTGGGACTATAGACATGGGCCACTGCATATAGCTAATTATCTTTTTTTGTTTTTTTGTAGAGACTGAGTCTTGGTTTGTTGCCCAGACTGGTCTCAAACTCCTGGCTTCAAGTAATCCTCCCACCTTAGCCTTCTAAAGTGCTGGAATTATAGGATTGAACCACTGAGCTCAGCCTAAAGTTGCTCTTACCTCTGCCCCTCCCTCTTTGTAGGTTCTGCAAGAACCTTGTCAAATCCTTGACCTTTTCTCTACCCTTTACCTCCTTGTCCCATCTGCCACATCTGATGTCATTACTTACCATAACCTTCTTGTTGTTGTTGTTGTTGTTGTTTTTTGTTGAGTTGGAGTCTCACTTGGTCGCCCAGACTGAAGTGCAGTGACCGCTCCCGGCCACCGCAGCCTCGCCTGCTGGGCTCCGGTGATCCTTCCGCCTCAGCCTTCCAAGTAGCCAGAATTACCACGCCCAGCTGATTTTTTGATTTATTGTAGAGATGAGGTCTCGCTGCCCAGGCGGGTCTCGAACCCGCGGGCTCAGGCAATCCACTCACCTCAGCCTCCTGAAGGCGCGAGATTACAGGCTGAGCCACCCAGCCCAGCTACCACAACCTTCTTAAAACCTTCTTTTCTTTTTCTTTTTTGTCATCGTCTCACTCTGTTGCCCATACTGGAATGCAATCGCAGCTCACCACAGCCTCAACCTCCTGGGCAATCCTTCCACGTTAGCCTCCTAGGTAGCTGGAACTGCAGACACACGCCACCATGCTAATTTTTTTACTTTTTGTAGAGATGAGGTCTCACTATGTTGCCTAGGCTGGTCTTGAACTCCAGAGCTCAAGTGATCCTCCTACTTTAGACTCCCAAAGCATTGAGATTACAGGTGTGAGTCACTGTACCTGACCTTTTTCTTTTTACCTAATGATGATAGTAAGAATTAACATTTGCTGATCACTTACTATGTGCTATACACTGTGATAAGCACTGAAGGTCATTTAATCTCTACAACAGTCCCAGGAGCAGGTACTATTAAGATCATCTCCATTTTACAGAGAAGGAAATTGAAGTATAGTGAAGTTAAGCAACTGGCCTCAATCACACAGCTGGGAACAAACCAAGTGGATTCAAATGCAGACTAGTCTACTTCCAAGGTCCATGTTCTGAGTTACCAGCCTCCTTCCACTATGATGGGGCTACCATGGTCCCCCCTTTTCCACGGTTTTGCTTTCCACAGTTTTAGTTACCTACAGTCAACCACAAGTCTGAAAATAGTATGTACAGTAAGATATCTTGAGGGAGATATTACATTTGCATAACTTTTATTATAGTATATATTATAATTGTTCTATTTTATTATCAGTTACCATTGTTAATCTCCTACTGTGCCTAATTTATAAATTAAACTTTATCAAATTACATGTGTATGTTTAGGAAAAAAACATAGTATATATTTAGAGTCTGGTACTATCTGTTGTTTCAGGCATTCACAGGGGGTCTTGGAAACATATCCCTTGTGGATAAGAGGGGACACTACATTTTTTGATCTTCAACAATCCCTTGGCCTCACACCCCCTCTAGATCTTTTCATATGTCAGACTTTCGCTTCCAAACAAAATGTCTTGAAAGACTATCTGCATGACACAGCCTCCACTTCTTGCATTGGCCCCAGAATTCAGGACAGACTCTGACATCTGCCATATTACCTAGTTCAAGGACACATTTTGCCCTTGTTCCTCCACTTCTGTCTATGTGGCAGATACAACTGGAGACCATCCCTTTTCAGACACCTTCACAGGCTCCTCCATCTTTTCTTGCCCCTTCCTAAAGGTCGGAGTCTCCAGT